ACACAGCCTCTCCCAGCCCCGCCAGCGGCGCCTTGCCAGCCTTGCCGCCGCGAGACTTTGCCTCCTTTGCAGCCTTGCTGCCGCCGCCGCCGCTCCCGCCACTCTCGCCGCCGCCGCCGCTGCCTCCACCACCGCCCGCGGCACCCTTGCCGCTGCCAGCTTTCGACGACCGCGACGGCTGCCGCGCCAGCGACGGCTGCCGCGCCACTCCGCCGCCACCGCCGCCGCCGCCGCCGCCACCGCCGCCGCCGCCGCCGCCGCCGCCGCCTGACGGAGTGTAGCTGACCGGCGGACCGCGGTCGCGCTTGGCGGGGGTGGAGGAGGCTCCCTTGTCCTCCGGCCGCGTCGCCCGCGCCGCGGCGAGAGTGACCCACGTCTCACGAGGCCACGGCAGCACGTCCGCACCTAGTTACCGACGGTGCGAGGGAGGCTCGAGGAAGGCTCGAGGGTGGCTGCAGGAAGGCTGCAGGAAGGTGCTCTCGCGAAGGAAGGCTCGAGGAGAGGCGTCTGGGCGAGGAGCCGAGGCGGGTGTGGCCGCGGGATCAGGCGCGCGCCGCGGGTGGAGCCGGTCTGGCCGTCGAGCCGAGAGATGTACCGCACGCGCAGCACGTTGCCCTGGTTGCCCTGCCCGGACGGTGTCTGCACTTCAGAGAGGCTGGACGGCATGCGTGGGTAGGGGGTGGTTGGCGCGCCTCGGTGGATTGGCGTTGCCGCAGCAGCTCTGCATGGAACCACTGCTTGACTCCTCCCACAGAGCCGAGCGCAAAGCAGGCAGAGTCGAGCGAGAGGCCCTTTGGCAGGCTCGGCAGCGGTGCTGCGTCGATTTGGGCGTTCTCTCCGTTCTGCTTTGCCTCCCCGCCCGCCTGCCGTCGGTGAGCCAGTGTCAGAGAGAGTGCTGGTGGTTGTGGGTGGGGTGGGTTCGTGAGTGTAATTCGCCTGGCCGCTGCAATGGAGCTCGTGCGTCGCGCGGGCGCCCGCTGATTTCAGGATGCGGCCGCACACGCCGCACTGCAGGCTGGAGTCCGCCTTGTTGGGCGTGCCTCTGCCGGAGTTGGACTCGGAGTACGAAGCGTCAGTGCTCACCGCCCCGGTTTCAGTGCTCACCGCCCCGGTTTGCCCGGTGGCTGACTCTGCCGACATACGCAGCGGTCGCCCAATGTCTGCACGTGACGGTCGCAAGGTCGGGCACCAAGCCTATCACAAAGCAAGGGGCGAGGGGACACCGGTTGCTCGGGGCTCACGAGTCTCGCTCGCATCCCACAAAAGAATTCTCGCCCGGTCTCACAAAAGAATTTTAGAACAAAACTCCCTCGCACAACACTGGGCACGGGACTGGCGCGCACTGGCACTAACACAGGTACACCACAAAAGAATTGCGACTGAATGCGCTTCCTTGCTTTGGCTCGTCTGTTTTCTTCTTTCTTTCTGCTCCCCGGTCCTGGGCGTGAGGTTGATGACCGCACTCCAAGTGCTCCAAGCGGCGGTGTGCCGTCCTCCCATCCCTCCCTTGGGTTTATTTATTGAGGCAAGCAGTCGACGAGAAACGATTGACGCGCGCGCGCCAGCTCCATCCATGTGACGTCATATGTACCGCCGTCCAGGCGGTGTCCGGTGATGCGCAAGGCCCACCAGCATTGGTGGCATTAGAATCGCTCCACATGAGCCATTCCGCGCACAGCGGTCCGCAGTGTCCACAGCAGTGGACTCGGACAGTGCTCCGCGGCGCACGGCCACGGGGTGTGAATAAGGGCGGCCCCCGCGCTGAGGGAGGGTGTAGAGGATGTAGAGTGTAGAGCGCTGTAGAGCTGTAGAGATGTAGAGCGCTGGAGAGCGCTGTAGAGCGCTGTAGAGCTGTAGAGCTCTACATCCGCCGCGTGACGAGGCCCGAGGCGGGTGCGTTGTAGAGCGATGCAGAGCGCGATTTTGCTGTAGAGTTTTGTTGTAGAGGCTCTACAGCCAACCCGCCGGGAAGGCAGTGACTCAAAGAGGTCGAGTCGCACTACTGTGGTGCACGAATGGTTGGACAGGTGTGAACAACACCTCGTGACCACGGCGCCGCAGGGGCAAGGCTGTGGTCGTATCCAGCCAACAGAGCGACGACGCGCTGGCCGACAAAGGTCTCGACCTTCTTTGGCAGCAGCTGGTTCTGAGAGAGAGATTTAGCAATACCTTTTGTTTTGCTGGTTCTGCTGGTCGCCGTGGCCAAAGCAACCAGAGCCTCCAAGGCCCCAGCTCCAGACGGAGCCGTCGGCGGTGCGGGCGAGGCTGTGAGACATTCCAGCCGACACGCTCACGGCGCTCTCGAGTATGGATGCGTGGCTGCCAACTCATAGGTAAAAGAGCAGCGAGACGGCCGCGACGCGAGCGATGTCGGCGGGGTCGCAGCGGGAGAGGGTGCGCACGAGGAGCTCCGTGGGGAGGTCGAGGAGGCGGGCGGGCGGCGGCGAGCTTGGCGAGGGCGCCGCGGCGGCGGTTTTGGCGAGGCGGCGGGAGCGGCGCCGCGGTGGTGTGGACATAGGACATCGCGCGAAGGAACAAAAATTCTTTAGCAGACATTGGAAGAGAGAATCGCAACACAGGGAGAGGGGCGTGAGCAGAGGTGGAGAGCGGGCACTCGCAGAGTCGCCCTCTCACACTAGAAAATGCCTCAGCGTCAGCTGCCGTGGCGGCGGCACTCCCTTGTGGTCGCTGTGTCCTCGATCGCGCTTTCCCGGCCTCCGCGCGCCGCTGGCGCCACCTCGCTCCGCGTGGGCAGGTGGTTCCTGCCCGCGAGCCTGCGGCGACCCTCCCCGGCGGGTGCCACACATCTCGCAGCTCTGCCGGCCGGGGGGGTTGAGAAAAGTGCACGCGTCGCACCCCCAATCCGCCGCCTCGGCCGCCTCGGCCGCCTCGGCCGACCCTGCCTCCTGCGCCTCGTTCGCTCCCGCCTCTCCGCTCGGGCTCCGTGCCCCCAGCTCCCGCGGGGAGGGGAAGCAGGGGCCCACGTCGTGCGGCTCTGCGCCGCCAGCCTCCTCGTCGCCGCCGCACAGCTCCTCCTCCCCGCCGCCCTCCCACGCCCACTCGCTCCAGTCCTCGAGGGCCACGCCGCCCGCCTCCCCGCTGGCCGCCCCTCCCCGACCCGCCGCCGCCGCCGCCGCCGCCGCCGCCCCCGCCCGAGCCGCCTCCTCCTCCCGCACGCGCCTCTCCTCCGCCTTGCTCATCAGCACCACCGGAGAGCCCTGGCCCAGCTGATACCCCGAGCGGAAATCTCGATGCGCCGCCGCCGCCTGCTTCGCCTGTGGCGATGCGCCCTTCTCGCCGGCAATAGCTCCGCGCGAGCCCGCCGCGTCGCGTAGCCCGCCCGCCTGCAGCCCGCCCGCCCGCGCAAACTTGGTGGCGGAGAGAGCGAGCAGCGTCAGGTGGAACGGCGGCCTACGCAGCACCGAGACGCAGCCGAGATGTAGCCGAGATGTGCAGCCGAGAGGGCAACCACCGTGAGGGTTGGGGCGGCCGCAAGTTCGCGCGCAGGACCGCCTCAGCAGCGGCGGCGATGGCGGCGGCGCCTCGCTCCCCGCTGGCGCCCGACGGCATGGCGCACGAGCGACTGACGCAGAGAGGGCCGCGCGGCGCCACCGACGCGTCGCGCTCGCCGGTCGGGTTCTGCATCGTGCGTGTTCCGTGGTGCCGCCACCGCACCTGTAGCGAGCTCGCAAAGCGGCCGCGCGACGCCGCCTGTTCACACCAGGAGGGCTGTGAAGAGACGCCGTCCACGCCCTCGACGGCGGAGGCGCCGCGCGACGCCGCCTCGTCCGCTAGCCTCCGCCGCAGGTCCGGCGCGAGCACCTGCAGCACCAGCCGCAGCGCCTCCACCGAGTGCGCCGCTTTGAACGAGTCCTCCACCGTCACCGAGAGCGGCGGCCCGCTCTCCTTGACCTAATCCACGACGGGCGCCCCACTCCACTGACGACTCCTCCCCTCAGCGGCGGCCCGCTCTCCTCCTCCACCGGCTCGGCGCACGCCCCCTCGCACTGCGCCGCCAGCCTCCGCCCTGCGGCGGCGCCGAGCGCGCGCTGCAGCGCCGCCAGCCCCGCCTCTCGCGCCTCCGCCACCGTGGTGCAGCCGGTGGCGTGCAGCGCCGCCGCCGCGCGAGCGCCTACGCGCCGCAAGGGGACGCAGTTCTGGGACGGGGTCGAGAGGACAGTATTGCAAGGACCGCGCTGCGCGCGCCGACGCCGGGCAGCGCGCGCAGCGGCAGCGGCGCGACGAACGCGCTCGCCTCGGAGGCGGGCAGCGCGGTCTGCGCGTCCGGCTTGTGCAGCGAGGCTGCGAGCTTGGCGAGCAGCTTGTTGTGCGCGACGCCGGCGGAGCTGGTCAGGCCCGTTGCGCGGCGGACGGCGGCGCGCGCCTCCGCCGCCACCGCAGACGCCGCACGGAGCAAGTCGAGCCCGCCGCCGCCGCCTCCGCCGCCGCCGCCGCCACCGCCGCCGCCGCCGCCGCCGCTGCTACTGCTGCCGCTACTGCTGCCGCTACTGCCGCCACCACTGCCACTGCTACTGTCGCTGCCGCTTTTGTTGCTGCTACCGCCGCCACTGTTGCTGCCGCCGCTGCCGCTGCTCGCTGCCCGCAGGTCCATCGGGCGGTAGGCGGTGCCCGTGCGAGCGAGAGCTTCTGCCGTGGTCGTGCCCTGCGCGGCGGTGTGGACGTGCGTGCCTGGCGCCCAGGCGCCAGCGCTAGCACGCGCCTCGGCCACAGCTGTGACGTCGATGAAGAACTCGTCCAGACCGACTCGCTGCACCGGCCCAAAGGCGCGAAGCGCCTGCATCGCCTCATCAGACGCCTCGCGATACGGCGTCAGGTCCTCACCGGCTATCAGCCGCAAATCGGGGCAGCGAGCTACGGCCTCCGTCGTCCGCATCAATTTTGCAACACCCGAGGAACGAGCAGGGTAGTTGCATGTCACGACGAGGAACTTTTGGGTTACGGCGACTGGCCGCTCCGCCGGAAGCCCGTTGCGGAGCATCTCGACTTGGCAGTAGAAGTAGTCGAGGTCCAGTAGGACGATGGCGCGAGCCTTCATGGGGGTGGTCTCTTGCAAACAGAGAGCTCTCGGCTCGTGCTGCGGCGGCACTCGATTGTGTGAGTTTTTCTTTTCCCGATTTTGTGAGCGGTTGGAAGCAAGGGTTATACTTTAGACGATTCGACTCTGGTTTGACCTCTCTGGGCCCGTTCTTGTCAAAGAAAGATTCCAAATTTATCAGCTAAATCGTGGCTGCGAGAGACGAGAGGAACGTTTGTGAAGCCCTCCGATGCGAAATAAACCAACGTCGAAGCCGGCGGGCAGAAAACGCGGGCCGGGGTTTTTGCTCTTGCATCTGTGGGAAAATTTTCAGCGTGACAGAGCAAAACAACGCGCGCCGCTTGCCGTGGCCGCATGCCGCGCTCGTTCGCCGCTCGCACGCTGCTGGCGGTGGTCGGCGTGCTCCTCACATCGCCCGAGCCGGCGTGTGCTGCTGGGAACGGTGCCGCCGACTGGATTGAGCTACTGGGCGGCTCGGCGCCGCCGACTGCCGCCGACAGCGGAGAGGAGGCGGTTGACTCGGCTCTGCTGGGTGCCATACGCGCGTGGCGGCAAGCTCGCGACGCGCGACGCGCCTCCGAGCAGCGAGTGGCTGCAGCAGCAGCCGCGCCTCGAGCACGGCGGCAGCAAATGCGCACCAACCCGCGGTGGGACCACGCCGCTGAGCTCGAGTATCTGACTCCTTTCGAGTTTCGGCGCTGCTTCGGAGTCGATATCGACACCTTTGACTACCTTCTGACGGTCCTCCGAGACGACATCGCGCCATCGCTGTCGGACGACGGCGCCCCTCGCGGCGGCTACCGCGGGGTGCTGGTGCCGGCGGAGCAGAAGCTCGCTCTCACGCTGCGCTGGCTCCGTGGTGCTTCCTACATCGACCAGACATACATGGGGAAGTACGAGTCCAGGGCCACCTTCTACCAGCACAACAAGACAGTCATCCGCGCCATCAACCGACACTTCCATTTCTCGCTTCGACGGAGTCTCGAGGCCGCGCTCGCCGGCCAGAGCAGGGATGAGCTTGACGAGCGAACGGTCGCCTTTGGGGCGGCGTCGCAGGGGTGCATCGACATGTGCATCGGCGCTCTCGACGGCGTGCATGTGCGCACGGCCCTGATCGGTACTAGCGCCTGCGCGCGTTCGCGCCCTCGCGTTCTCATCCCCCGCCCCCTCCCTTGCGAGGTGCTAATCAAGCAGCCTCCTCGCCGGCGAGAGGTGAACCGCGCCAGGTGGATCAACAAGAATGGCAAGGCGAGCATCAATGTGCAGGCGATCGCAGACAGCGACCGGACCTTCTCCTGGGCGGCGATTGGCATCCCCGGCGCCAACCCAGACTTGACAGCGTACCGGAGCACCTCCTTCTTCGAGGTGATGCGGAGCGTCGCGCGGGTCTTTGGCTACTTCCTCGTGGCGGATGCGGGCTACGTCGACTGCGAGGAGCTGCTGATCCCATGGCCCACCGGCCCCAGTGTCACGTACACCTCCGCAAAGGGCGTGTTCAACCACTATCAGTCCTCCACCCGCCAGGCGATCGAGTGCGCCTTTGGGATGTGGGAGCGGCGCTGGGGCGTCCTCTGGCGGCGCCTCGAGGTGGAGACGTGCTTCGCGACCGACGTCATCCAGGCAACCATGCTGCTCCACAACCTCTGCGTGGAGCGGAATGTGCGCCTGCCGCCCAACGACGACCGCTTCGTACCGCTCGAGCGCACTTCGGATCGGCTCGCGGGACGCCCGCCGGCGCCGCGTGCCAACACTCTGCGCGAACGGATCACAGAGGCGATCCGTGCTGCGGGCCTCACCCGGGGGCCGCTCCCATCCGGCCTTGTGGCGCCGCAGGCCGTTGATGCCACGGTCTCCGGAGCTTAGGCGCGCCACCGAGCCCAGCTGGGGGCTGGGCGATAGACCTCCGCCCGCCCGGCGTGAAGGAACCCATGGCCCATGCGACTGTTACCCATGATTATCTCACACCACTTTTCTGTGCGTTTGACATGTACATGTCCTCGCGTTTGCATGACCATGAGGTGAAATTAGCAGAATGACTTAGGTCTTGACAGTGTAAAGTAGAGGGGTGAGGAACTGACTTATTTCGTTCAGGAAAGTCAAGTGGAATCTCCAATGAGTAAACGGCGGGCTAAAAAGGGCGATCGTGCGGCTTGCACGAATCCCGCGGCGACGCTCGCCTCTCCCGCATCCCGTGATCTGTAAGTGGATACAGCGGCGGAGCAGAGCACAGCCATTGAGGATGCCGAGGCCACGTTTACGCGCCCCCCGTGACAACCCCTCCGACTTCTCGTGCGGCGATGTTCACGCTGTGCGGGTCTTCCTGGCGCACCAGGGCAACGTCCACATTGATTGGAAGAAGAAGTTTGTGCGCACCTTCTGCCCTGACAGATCATCGTCAAAGACCGCCGACGAACTCTCCTCACTTCTCTTTGACTATGCCACAAGGCTCGGCCTCGACCGGTCCGCCGAGCCGGTGGCGCCCGAGCTGCCATCGGGCGCCATCACTGAGCACCCTCGGCTCACGCTTTCGGATGCTTCGCTTCTACTCGTCGATGGCTCGTTTGACGGCGCCCTCGCTGACGGCGGGTTGGCTCCCAACGATGGCCGCGCCCCGGATGGATGGGTTTCGCCCATGTCTATGACCCTGGGTGGCGTGTCCCCTACCATGTCCCTGCTCGGATCCCTGCTACCCTCGCCTCAGCTGCAGCCAGAGGCGCCGCTGACCGTCACGGCGCCCGTCCAGCAGCACCTGCCCGCGCCCCGCCCCGCGGCGCAGTCACTTGGACTGCCTCCGCTGCAGCCGCACCGGGCAGGCGAGGGCGTAGCAGCCGCCAGTGATGGAACTGGTGCCTCCCTCTGGGGAGCGGCTGCGCTGCCCGCCGCCACCGGCGCGTCGCTACCCGATTCCGCCATCCAGTCCGAGCCCGCGGTCAAGCACATCGACATGACCGATGAGCGCATTTGCCGCGGCGCACGATTGCTAGAGGCAGTCGCGGCCCGTAAGGACATGGTCATCTCGTACCACGCCGGCCATGACCACGCCCACGGCTTTCTTGCAGCATCGTCGTCGAGAACCAAGGCGCACCCGACTGCGATGTTTGATGTCGGCACGCCCCTGCACAACTGTGTTATGGGCAACGACGACTCCTTCCAGCCGACCAACCGCTTCGAGCACAGCTCGTACCCAACGCTGCGCTCCATCGACCCGTCGGTCGTGCCCAAGACCTTCGCCGTCTACGACGAGTACGTGGCGGTGCGAGGCCCCGTCACGCTCATCCTTGACAAGATTCGGAAGGCGTCGTCAGGCAAGATGACCTACGAGGAGTCCGCTCTGTGGCAATGGTGCTCGAACATGCCGCTGTACGTGTACTGGGTCAAGGCGGTGATCCAGGAGGGCGAGTGGCTGATCTCGGTCGTCCACTACACGGGCGGCCCTAACACATTCGAGCCCGACGAGCCTTCTTCTTCACTGTCCACGGCGGTTTCCTCCTTGGCGCCCGCACCGTCCTCGGCAGCTTCCTCCTCGCGCGACAAGTGCGCGCCGGCGCGCCTCAATGTGGCGGCGGGCGCGGCGGCGGCTCCGGCGGCTCCGGCAGCTCCGCTGTGCGACGACGAGAAGGCCAAGGAGGAGAGGCTCTACAGGGCTGCGACTATCGCAACCAGGAGCAGTCAGGTGTGCTCCATCAAGCGGCTACTCGCGGAAGGCGTCGACGACGAGGGGCTCGCCGCTTCTCTGGCAGAGGAGCTGGCGCGCGCAACCGAGGCGCTCAAGGAGGCGCTGGCGGCGCGGGCAGACTAGGACGGGCGGAAGCGGATGGGTGGCGAGCGAGGCGCCAGGCAGCTGCTCGATTAGACATGTTTGCATGAATCCATGGCGGGGCCATGCGAGAGAGCGCGCGCGAGACATGACTCTTGAACACACCAGTCGTGTGTGTCCACTGCTTTCTGCATGGCGCCTAAGGGGTCGCTCATGGCATGTTAGGATAAAACTTAGACAGACGCGTACAGGACACTTATACATGGATATAAACGGTACGCATGCGCAGCATGCGAATTGAGTGAACTCGGGCTCATGCGTCATGGGGAAGGCAGCCGCTCGACATGGGACACATGGTCATGGACACATGGACATGGGGATGCACGCGCGCGAAAGCACGGGGTGGGCTCGTCTGAGAGCGGCTGTACGCTCGTGCCGCCTAGCGGGGCGATTGCTAAATCGCACCGGTGCTTGGGTCGGCTGGGGCAATGGCGGCGTGCATGGGAGGGTAGGGGGGCAGGCCCGGCAGGTGCCACGGTGCCACCGCTTGCTCACTCTAGGCTGCTCAGTCGACGATCTGCGGCGGCGCGTCGTCGCCGAGATGCTCCCGGAGGCCCGCAAAGATCTTGTCGGTGGCGCGGTTTCGGGTCGCGCGCAGGTCGTTGCGCAAGGCGTAAACCGCATCGAGCACCCCGTCCAGCGCGTCCTCGAAGCGGCTGCCGACGTTGATGAAGGAGGGCGGGGTGACGCTGAAGAGGCGGTAGAACGACCGCTTGTGCTGCGGCCAGTCCGCCTTGCCAAACTCGAGCGAGAGCGTCCGCGCCGGGACGAGGGGCTGGACGAAGTCCTCGTTCTGCCCCTGCGGCCGGAAGAGGCGGCCCTGGACGCGGACTGGCGACGGCTCGATGCCCCACTCCTCCGAGTTGTCGCGCGGGAAGCGAATGGGGCAGCGGTCGCGGTACCTAGAGGAGAGAATCCAGGAAGGCTCAGTAAAGGTGCTCCAGGGAGGCACTGCTGCTCGCACAGCGGTGGCGGGTACTGCGTCTCGAGGTGCGCGCCGATGAAGAGGCCGAGCACGCGCATCTGTTGAAACGAGTCGAGTAGCAGGTCGGCGCGGAGCGGCGAGGCCCCGTCGCCTCGGATGAAGCCGTCGAGGCGCAAGTCCTCCAGCGCGCGAGTCGGGAAATCGAGGTCGACTGGGAGCGCCGGGTTGGTGCCCACCGGGCCGACCGGCGGCGCCCCG